CGCAATTTCAGGTATGATTTGTACGCGCCAACGAGACTATCTGGCACACCCTTCTCAAGTACCGATTTCTTGGTATGTCCATAGTTTTTCCAACGCTGGAACACCTTATCCCGGTAATTCACATCCCTTCCCATCTTAAGCACCTTCAGTGCACCGAACAAATTCTCCCCGCTAACCCTCTCTTCATCGTCGTGCTTGGTAATTTTGCCTTCGTCACCCGTCGTCTGGTGGCTTCGAAGGAATCTCTTGTCCTCGCCAGAGAGAACACGCGAGGAGTGAACAACGTCCACGTTCAACACACTGGCCTGATCGGCATATGACACTGCTGTGCCACTTGCAAGGAGGACGGTCGCAAGAACCACAAGGTTCATGTTGAAGAGACGCATGGCTGGCAGGGTCTTGAGGCCGGAGGGAAATTGCGGAATGAGAAATGCGGCAGTTGTAGTACAACTTGTACGTTGCCCTCTCGAGTGTCTCATGAGATTACTGTGGCTTACAGTAATCTCTGGTCTCTTTTGTACGCACCAGAAGGTGCAAGTGGATTCGGAGCAGCAGCAGGAGCATGTCCGTATATGTATTACAGCCCCCACCCTTATGTTTTCCCCCTTCAAGTTTCTGGAGCTATCCTAAATATTACATGTAGGTTTGTGAGTGCGGACAGGATGCACTACGGAGAGAGGATAGATCATCGAGGCAACTGTGAAGTGACCAACACGTATTGACTTCGAGCATATTTGTTAAGAGTTCTACAGTTCAGTAGGTTGAGGGTGTCGGCAAAAACGTTCCAGGATTTTCCTCACTGGCAAATTACGGGAAGAAAAAAAAACTCTCAGCGTAATAAGCTGCGCTTAAAGAAGGTTAGCATTTTTTTTCCTTCGAGTGATTACTCTTTTGCGCGTAATCCCAACGATGCTATGTGCGGTGCTTGGAGGTGTGGAGGAGACCTCCTTCGCACCAGATGCTACTTAGCGGTGTTGTAGTCAATTTCAACAGCTGGTGGTCAGGAAGCGCTAAATCTACTCTCGTTGGTAAATTACGGGAAGAAAAAAAACTGGCGGCGTAATGTTCCGGATATTACTACTCTGGTGAGCGTCGGCAGTGGGGGCGAGCATCGCCATACTGGATAGGGCCGAAGCCACGGCGAGGGTCGACGCGAAAGAAGAGACCATTGGAAGACGAAGGTGTCGGAAGTTGGCGGTCGGACGGCAAAAGCGAGAGTGATACGGTAGAGTAGCGAGGACAGGAGAAAGCGCTTCGCTTGCTTGATGCAACAAAGCTGTGCAGCATCGACGGAATTTCTCGGTGGGGTCGACTAGCGTTCGCCTTGTTTTTCCATTGATTCGGAACTGGGATTGGCACGACACGCTTTTCGGAGTTAGAGTGCCGATGTGCACACTGTACACATGCGATAACCGGAAATTGAGTCCAAAAATGTAGTAGTAAGTGACTTTATTTGGTCTTGGCCATTAAAATCCTGGTGGTGGTCTTACTGTTTCTTCTTCTTCTACTGAACTTCGATCTCAAGTTGGGGTGGTGGCGGCGAACAAGCTAATAAGTTGGGCTGTGTCGGCAGCCGCATTGGTGAGATTCGGCTTTGAGAGACTTGAGGTAGAGTGCTCAGTTTAGTAATTTTGATAAATACATCTGGGCGTCTGGTGGATGAGATCGTGGGCTCGAGCGACGAAAGTGATGGCAGCAGAATGGAGATTGAAGACGCTGGCGTAGAGATGGAGATGGTCAGAGGCATTGGGGACGGTGGCATCATTGAGAAGGCTGAGGCTGTGGTCATCGCTTCCTCCGAGCACGAGTGGCAAGACGAGGACTTTGAAGATGGAACTTGTCTCTTGTCAGACTGCACCAACACGGCTCAAGCGAACGGCTTCTGCTACGCTCACGGCGGATATCAGGTGTGCTATGCTCTTGGTTGTAACCGGAGGGCTGCTGTACGAGCTTTTCATCGCAAACGCGCCGTATCCAGCGACACGAATGATCTGCACACTGCTGAATACGACGGTAATGGAAAGAGCGCGAAGAACCAAAAGGTGTGGGTCCAACTCGACTACTGCGATAAGCACTTGGATGAAGAGGAACTGGATGGAGATCACGCAGCCGAAGCATCGAGTCAAGCGCAGCCGCATGAGACCATCCGCGCTACCGATCGTCGTTATCGTCGCCACAGCGTGTGCAAGTGGCTTGGGTGTATGAAGTGGGTGATGAGAGATGGAGACCCGAGCGAGTACTGCGTCCTTCACCGAGCCCAAGACGGCAGCTCAGTGATCTCGAGAGGAAGTAGCGTGGCATCATTCACCCACTCCGAGGACGAGTCGAGTGTTGAGCAAGTGGAGGCCACGGAATTCAATGGCGAAAAGGACGTCCAGCGCGACTACAAAAGCCCCGTCCTCTGCAAAGAACCAGGATGCAGCAAGCAGGGATCTGTCTACGGAGACAAGAGGGGCTACTGCTTTTAACACGGCGGTGGCGTCACCTGCATCGTACCAGGATGCCCCAAGCAGCGTCAATTGAAGGGGCTATGCCGAGAGCAAGCTTTGCGTTTGTTCCTGCCGCCGACAGAAGCACCCCCACCACCACTCTTCCCCCTTGATACTTTTCTGTAGGTAGACCCGGAAAGAACGTATCTTCAGCGAAACAAACATTGCAGTGTAGTCTCAGGTGCTCGACCATAGCCTTCTTCATTGCAGCAGTGTAAAATGGTAGGGCCCGCGTCGTTTTCCACCTGCCTCGACCTCCAGACAGGCGAGGGTGACTTGGTGGCGCCCACGCCGTTGCAGAAATGATCGCGCGCTGAGCGGCCGAGAGTGCAAAAATTACTGGCTTGAAACTGGTGTATCCCTCAACAAGTCAAGCCCTGTCAATCTGAAGACACAATTGTGATTGGCTAATACTATCCTGTATCCCATACGTGGGTGTATCCCTCTACAAAACAAATTCGGTAACCAGCTCCTGGGGTTAACGTTGGACAAGCACTGCCGAATGGCCAGGTTGCTCTCTACCTTGAGCTCAGCTTCGCACGGGGACAAGGGACATTGGTCACAGTGGATGAGTCCAAAAATGTAATGGCTCGCTAACAACGAACTGTAATGTATAGTGTACATTATGCTTTGCGCGTGCCATGCAAATCTTGCTGCCGTCGTAGCTGTACAGTACGTAATGGTCTTGCGAGCGTTGCAATGGACGACTGCACATTCCCACTCAAAATACGCAGAGCGGTTACCCGCCAGGTGGTGGGCATTGACTTGGTTCGAGCGGATGTCTGCCCTTGGCCAGCAATGACACAGCAATGGGCCGCTGCAGTGTACATGTATGCAGCAGTGTTTTGTGTGAGAGCGACATCAATATACATGTACATTCTCCCAATCGTAGCCAATATGATGCACACTTGGGAGGTGATATCGACAGCGGGCCGCTACGCTAACTGCAGCGGGGCTACGTACAAATTCCTATATTAGCCGTACAAAAACCAAAAACGGGCTGCTGGTACAGAAGTATGCTCTTGGGATCGATTTGCATATTTTGACAAGCGTTGGTACTTTTTAGCATACATGTAGTTCGTATGGGCTTCCTGTTTGGAGCCCCAGACAAGAACTGCTTCGCGAGCGTACTGCACTGTCGATAGCTCCACCAGCTCTGAAGGCAAGTCGACCACAACAGTGCAATACTTGTACTCACTGTCATAAGCTGCATACTAAGACGTAAGCACGATTTTAGATCCGCTTAGGTTGTCATCGATTCCCTTTGGAAGATCATCGATCCGCTTCGGTAGTGTCATCGATCCGCTTGGGTAAATCATCGACCCGCTTGGGTATATCATCGATCAGTTTGGTTAGATCATCAATCTGCTTGGGTAGATCATGCATCCGCATTATCAATAGAGTGTCATGCATTTGGTTGGCCTCTCATGAGCCTGCAGTCGCCACTATTTTGTCTTTTTTTCTACATGTATCGCAAGGTATTTTACAGCTGACGATAATGATCATGAATATGGGTTTCGCATGTACTTCTACCTAGCTTTCACGCCTATACTGAGGTCTACCGATATCATTCTTGCGTGCATATATTAGTGTACCGAAACGCATGCCTAAGTGTGAATGACTGCCGGTGGAACTTACTGGTGAGACTTAGTAAAACAAGACACAACCGACCACTGCTCATAGCGAAGACTCAAGCCAGCTCCCCGCATACTTACACCCCAGATAGCTAGCTACAGGTAGGCTACCTACATGTATGGAAGCCGTTCATTGTACGTTAGTATTGTACCAACGTTTGTCAGTACTGCTGCGCCTGTCCTCGCTCCCCGCTGCAGTTAGCGGGAAGCCCGCTGTCGATATCACCTCCCTGCACACTTGTGGTCAATTCCTCGATGCAGTATGTTGTAGCTGAAAAGGTCGATTACTGCAAGGAAGATCGCAGAAAGGTCTGCATCATCATGCACTGT